TCAAAAATCGAGCAGTGTCACTTGCTTCATATCCGTTCTTGGCCCTACTTTAGCAATAAGTGGACGTTTCAAAATGGCCTCTTTATCGGCCACAATACTGGCGGCAACACAACCATTGATATATTCGGTAAGGTTTCTAATGATGCCCCACTTGGCACCTGTGTCGCATTTTGTGAGGAACACACCTTCACCCTGAAGATCCTATTTATTGCCCATTATAGGTTCGGGAACTGGAAGCAGACCACCAGTACGCGGCACAAAGGCACGAGGAGGAGATAAAGGACCTCTTTCAAGTGGCCCGAGCACGGGAGCTGCAGATGGCAGAAAGCATCGAGGAACTTTCTCGTCTCAAGGACGACAAACTGAGTCAGGCAGCCTCCTTGATTACACAGTACCGGTCCATGCTGCTTAAGCTACGGGAAGAAAGCAGAACTGGCATTGAGGTGAGCTATTCTTCTCCATGGTTGATTGCATTCCATAGATGTTTGCTTCACTTACATTTCGATAATGCAACTAAAGGATATATTACTTTGATAGAAAAGGTTCTTCGGGAAACAGGAACAAACTTTATTGTACATTTTCGACGCTGGCATACCAGGTCGTCTTCGGACCTGAGGGGAATGTGTGAAGAGCACTGCGCATTTTTAAACGTGCCAAAAAATTGATAATGTTTCGTCATCCATGGTCACTAGCAGGTTTCGGTGGTTGGCGCTTTTTCCAGGCTTTTTTGAGATTGGTATACATTGATTCCAAATCAACGTGCCTGTTGATGCATGATTCGTCAGAATTAATGGCCTCCGAAAATTCTCGGCCTTTCTTATGTGGGCAGGAACCTACTATGCGGGTTTGGTCCCATGCAAACTTGTGCCCACTTTCAAGCGAATGCATGGCGACTTCGGACAGCTGGTCGCGCCTCTTTACTGCTAATTGATTTTCATGTATGCGTGTAGAGGCGGACCTTCCTGTTTGTCCGCAATAAATTGCATCGCAGTCGCCGCAAGGAATTTTATAAACGAATCATGCATCAACAGGCAGGTTGATTTGGAGTCAATGTATGCCAATCTCAAAAAAGCCTGGAAAAAGCGCCAACCACCGAAACATGCTATTGATAATGGATAACGAATCATTATCGATTTTTTGGCAGGTTTAAAAATGCGCACTGTTATTCACACATTTTCCTGACGTCCGAGGACGACCTGGTGTGGCAGCGTCGAAAATTTACAATAAAGTTTGTTCCTATTTCCCAAAGAATCTTTTCTACCAAATTTTATTTCTTGGGATGCCTATTTTCAAATTCATAGGAATGGATATATTACTATTTTTTTACTTTGCTCGTGTTGCGAAGGAGAAAAAGGCTCCCAGTTTATTTTTGTCCATCCTCTTTTGAAAATTTACACGCGAAACGGAATCCAGTTGGTGAAGAAAAGTAACTTTTTACGTTAGCAAAAAAATGTTTTATCACTATCCGGTGAGTTAAAAATGTCCGTCTCTAGACGTACGCACCTGGACCGACGAAAAAATGTCGATGAGCTTTTCGCATTCAAGCACACAATCATTGCAAGTACGTACTCGAGCGCTCAGTGTTGATGAAGTGGGCTTGGATGCTGAAAATTTACGTTTCGACTAGCAAAAACCGACTGAGTTCGCGTAAATCGTACACCAAACACTATCGTCGCTGCCTTTTTTCTGCACCAACCACGCTTCAGATAATGTAATATTTCATTGTGTATGCTTGACTCAATTTAATTGGTACAAAATTTCGCCTGGACTTTCTTGAATAACCGGAAACTAAGTGTGTTTTAATCTAGCCTTTGTGGCCAACTTTCACTAGTTATCAACAAAAATGAACCTGTCGAACATTCTTACTTTACGGAATTTCCTTAAAATTGTATTCACTTAAGAACAGGAAATCTGACAGTAACGTTCCTGTTTAGGCCGTCACAGCAAAAAGTGTGTGAAGTATTAGCGTCTGCTCGCTGTTGGAAGTAAGAAGACATTCAAGTACATCGTCGACTGAACTAGTTGGTACCTCAAAGCATTCCTACCTTCAGAAGACGATTTGGGTGGTCGACATTTGCTGTCGATAAATCCTCACCAGACCAGTATATGCACCTTGAAACAGGGTCAACTAAAGACATGTGGGCAGTAATGTGAATGCAGTACTGTTCACCTTTTCGCGCAACTGGGATTTAGGAAATAGGGGAAATTATGAATTGGGAGCGAGGGGACTGGCAAGAGTGATGTCCGGGGGGGTGGCTGAGAATGGGGTAACAAAACTCAATTTCATAATTTATTGCTTTGAAGACAGACGGAAAAAGTTCCTTGGTGCATCTGAAAAGCACACACACATCGTGAACAGGCGGCATGTAGATAGACATCTATCTAAGTTCCGGATCTTTACGATTTCAATCAGTTTCCGCCCTTAAAACGCTCGATAACCATTGGTTTCGCAGGCCTCACAGGTGGCTGCGCTGTGAACCTAACAGTCACCATCGAGTCAGCCCTCACGTTACTGAAGGAGGCATACAAGGCAATTAACCCATTACCTCCCATAATTTTTATCACTTTGATTTTTGTTATGAAACTTGGATACCTATGGCTTTTTCAAACTTGTATATAAATTAATTTAGAGCGATTTTTTTAAAAAATCTCATGTGGATATCAGAGAAATATACCTAGTAGATATAGTATGAAGGTTAAATATGCGTATATACAGACAGATAATTACGAAAGCTCTTAATTTTTAAGTGATATCATATGAGATCACCGAGAGGTAATGGGTTAAGTTCGGTTTCGCAACTGATTGTCCCTTTGTAATACGCTAAAGCACCACGCGATCATTACCAGTCTAAAAGAAATCCACGGGAACTAGAATGGCCCTACCACAAATTATGATTAATATTTCTTCTGGAAAGTCTTGAAACTGTCAGAATAGTGCTAATCTGCTGTGAGATCGATTCAGCTATTCACAATGAGATGGTGAAACTATAGAAGAAATAGAGCCTTTAGTGATCGGTCAAACAACTGTAGGATACCCATGTCAACGTAATAATCGCCGATCATGGAGACTGGGCTATGGTTAACTTCTATGAATGGCAAAAGTTAATGAAGTTCATAAGTCCCTTAAACCCGCTGTAATCGAAGTCTCTTGCCATTCGGTGCAAATGATTTTTCTAGTAGTTACAATGTCTGCCATTAGAATTCGAAAAGCCAGCAGCAAGGCTGTGTTTTTGGGCAGGGGGTAAAAGATAATGAAACAAGCAGGATAAAATTATGGACTCATTTGAAATCGCGATAATAGTTACCATAGTCCCACAAGACTGAGCGGCCGAAAATCGGGGACCTCTGTTTGCTAGTGTATATGGTGTTACGCACAAATCAATACCGTTTTTTACCATGCAGTTCATCTTCAGTTATAGTAAGCGCCTACAGCTCAAACAGTCTCCGGACGTTCTATTAGGACTTTTTTCAAATCATTGGAAGCGTTGGATTATGAAGTTTAGCGGCCATGATATGAATACCGATGAAACTTTCAACAAAAATCAAATAGGACGCAGACTCGCAGGTTAACTAATCCTCAGAGACCTCTATCGTGGCCATTTTGTACAGGACAGTGGAGAAGGACATATAACTGCCGTTGTTAGACGTCCCAATTCATCTTATGAATTCATTCTACCTCGAAAACAGTGGTATCGGGGACGAAAACGAAAATATTCGTCACAGCAACGCGTTCGGTAAAAATTAACATCAATACTGCAGGGACCATGAGCTACAAAAACGGAGGACTCAGAAAAGGACGTTGAAAAAGCAGCTCTTACCACGCAGTTGAACGGACAAGGGAAAAAAACTCCGTCCAGACTTCTGCTAAGGAAGAATTTAACGACAAAGCTGCTTGCCTGCTGGCCACTCACCTAGACCCTGACTGTTGCCTCGTAGTAGTAAGCTTGCATTAAACGAACTAGTTTTTGTGGCTTGGCAGCGTATTCTACAATTCACCCCAGGGAATTCAAGGGGTCAGAGGAAAACGCAAAGACAATATTCCTTAGAACGAAGAGGTTGAGTTTCTAGCAACAATGGTGGTGTTTGATGATTAATCGTCTAAGTTCTGCAAATATTCCCATGGTTCATTTGGAAAGGCTATTCGGCAAACATATGTTTTCAGCAATCCATCATCAGGCCAGTAAAATCGTAGGGATAATGAAAATCGTACAATTGGATAGGGTTAAAAAGGGTCGCAAAAGTATTACCACGCCTTTATTTCCTAAAGTTTGCCGTCTATCGACTACATACAGGCCAACTAGAGTATCCGTCTGTAGCTTGAACTTTACAGAACGTCTACTCATATACCCTCGATCCCAGCAGGGAGAGTGCACCTCGGTTTATGCTATTCCGAGAAAATACATGTATGCGGCTCGGAGCACATCAGGGATTTCCTTGATTTCCGCCCTCTCACCTCTGTCCACCAAAAGCTGTGTCACATTTTACTAAGGTTGAGCTAGGATACTGCTGCTAGAGGTAATATGCTACTGCTAAGAATGCTAACTCTAGTAATCATGCTGACTAAGACCAGCGGATAGTAGATTCTAGTAATATATTCCTATAATTGTATCAATAGCTGGCATGCATCCTTTTTTGCAACAAGCATAACGGATGGGAATATGAGCTTACGCGCGTCCTCAGCTTCATCTGGGCTGATTTGTAAGACGCCCGGTTGGTAAGTAAGGCTCTCATCACTTTAACACATCATTTTAATATGGTAAGTAGTCAAATTGTCAGGGGATAAAATTTAGGCATGTGAATAAATAAATGCTGTGGGGCGTTCAACGACCGCCACACAATCGTGAGTGATCTTAGGCGCCCCGATGAACGGGCACGAGC